AAATCACAGAGATCCATCTGACTCTATCTCTTAAATCCTGGGATTAAATGAGTGTTTCACTATTGCCTGACCTCTGTGGCTTAAGATTTGCCTCCATTCTTCAGTCAAGATGTACTTATCAAGAAATTAATAATATACCACTATATATGATTGCCACCTGAATAAGCCAATCCTAAGCAGGATGGTCACTCTGCTTTTAAAATTCCCATTACTGTGCTTAAAAGGAGCTTACACATACCTCTTGGGGTTTTTGCCTTTTTGTACAGGTGTGTAATTCCACATGTATGTGGCATAATAAATGCTCTTGCTGGTTGCATTAACACAGGTAGTTTTTTGGGACTCCTTATGTTCCCTAACATATAAATATCTATTATTGACAAGGATTGCTGTCTCAGAGCTATGAAAAGTAGAAAAGATTTTCACAGTGTAGGCTCAAAATTTCAGTCTTCCTCTGGTCAGTATGCAAATGTTGACAGAGATTACAGAAAGCATGATTGTGGGAGCCAGCCATGACAAGCTAAGTATGGGCTGAAGCAGGGTTGCAAGAAGAAATACATGCTAAGATTACCCAACCTCCACCAAAGAACAGACCATTCTAAGGAAATGTCTAACATTCCAACCACTGTAAATAGGACTACCTGCCAGAACACACTCACCAGGACACCCCTAGATAAATGTCAGCTAATCAGGAGCCCTAAATCTTCAGAAGCCCCCACCCCCACCTTTACTACTATAAAATCCTATTCTAATTGAGCCCAGGGCTCTCCTCTAATATGTTGGACATGCAGAAAGACCAGGTTTTCAAACTTGATTAAAATAAAGGCTCTTTGCTTTTACATACAGGACTCGGTTTCCTTGTTGGTTTTTGCAGGGACTTTTCATGTTTAGGCATATCATTTGGGGGCTCACTGCTTGGCCCATTAGCTCTAACCTTTTACTGGCTAACTCTCACATCTTGATCAACCCATTTTTATTCATTTATTTATTAAAGATTTCTGTCTCCTCTCTGCCACCACCTCCCATTTCCCTCCCCCTCTCCCAATCAACTCCCCCTGTCTTGTCAGCCCGCAGAGCAGTCAGGTGATGAAAGGAAACAGAGACAGAGTCCCACATTGGAGCACCGGACTGAAACCCCAAGGTCCAAATCAGGAGCAGAAGGAAAGACAGCAAGAAAAAGGAACTCAGGACCATGAGGGTAGCACCCACACACTGAGACAATGAGGATGTTCTATTGGGAACTCACCAAGGCCAGCTGGACTGGGTCTGAAAAAGCCTGGGATAAAACCGGTCTCGCTGAACATAGCGGACAATGAGGACTACTGAGAACTCAACAATGGCAATGGGTTTTTGATCCTACTGCACCTATTGGCTTTGTGGGAGCCTAGGCAGTTTGGATGCTCACCTTACTAGACCTGGATGGAGGAATTTCTAAGGTTCAAGACCCCTGATTGGCTGACATTTGTCTGAGTCTCCTGATGAATGTGTGCTAGCAGGTGATCCTATCTACAAAGGTTGGAATGTTGGGAATTTCCTTTCCATGGTCTATTCCTGGGTGTTGCCTGAGCAGGCTCAGTGTGTGGTCCTTATTGGAACCAGGTATTTCTTTAGGGTAAACTACTGAGACTCAGGTCTTTATTAAGCTTATCATGGCTGGGCCCTACACTTCTCCCTTCAAAAGTACCAATTACAGGACACAGTCATGAGTCCTGCTTGCCCATGGGTTTAAGGAGATAATATTGGAACCTAAGAACCTTTAGTTAACAGATTTTTCCAGGACAGTGGCCAGCCTACCAGGCCCTGTAGTTTTGTTCTTTTGGGTACAACAAAATTGTAATTATAATCCTGAATATCTTCTTGGGTTCTGTGCTTCTGCATAAAGAACAAAATGACTTCTTTTATTTTTTTTTTTTTTTTGTAGGACCATTTTAGTTAACAAATCCTTTAATTGACAACTCTGTGCCTCTTTTTCCGGCACTATAGGTAGTCATTTTGTCCCCCATGCCAGGGTGTTATCCCTCATCTCAGCCTTTCAGCCTATTCTGGGCAGAGAGCATGAGATAATGTGCTTCTTTCTGCAACTTCTTCAAGCTAATATCAGAGTACTGTCATCAGGTTTCAAGTAGATTGAAAGGATAGCCAAAGGTAAGGATGAAACTCAGGCAATGGGGCACTCATCAGAATCATCTGGTTCGCAGACTGTTGAAGAGCCAGGGATCATTCACATCAGCTGGACTGGTCCACATCAGCTTTAAAGAAGTCCAGAGCTCACAGTCATTCAGAGAAGATTGTAGTCAGCAACTGATGTTTAGATATTTCTGCCAGCCCAGCCAAGTGAAAACCTATTGAGATAAGTTTAAACTTAGAACAGAAGTTAAAATTTATGTACTGAAAAATAATACATTTGAAACTTTTAGGACCATATTGATCCATATTGCAGAAAAAGTATAGATAATGGGTACCTTTATATAGCAAGCATAGACTCATATCTTTGAGTCCTACCAAAAACTACAGATTTTGGTTAGAAGCATGTATATTTTTCTGATGTCCAGAGAGCCATGTATGGATTGGACAAAAATGCCTTTGGCATGATGAAAAACACCTTTAAGTTTATATTTTGTTGGCTACCACAATAAATCTAAAATCCGAAGTGTGATCCAAACAGTAAGTAGTCATTGCTCTATCAGCTTATCAGAACTATACCTATAGAAGCCAGATTCTATAAGGTCAGTGAGGGTTCCTGGATAGGGGATCCTTGAGGCCAAAGAAAAGTCAGAAGAAACAGAAGACAGGATAGAATCAGGAGGTCTATCTGGTCATGCTGAAGCAGCCAAACAGCCCAGAGTTTATTTCATAACTTACATGTATACAAAGACAGAACAAAGCACAGCACAAATGGTCATTTGGTATTTAACCACAAGACTATTTTTGTCCTTGAGTGAGCAGCCTCCTCTCTAACACATGCTTGCTGCTCAGAAAAGACAGACCTTATTTTATCTAGACAAAAGGGGGTATCATCAATTCTCCCATATACTGCTGTTTGTCCACAATCTGGACCAGGTCCTGGCAGCAGGTGTTAGACTGGGGCATCTTTCCCAGTGGTCAACATCACCATAATCTAGGTAGTGACATCACGGTCTCTCATAATCTTCTTTGGTGACCTTTGACCACTGCTAGGATCTCAGAGACTCTGTTTACTATAAGCTTTTTAATCTTTATTTTAAATGCCATATTATGTAGATCTCTGAAGTATGAGGGATGCTTAGGTATATCTGATTAGACAAATTTTGATTCTAATTACTTGTTTTAAGTTTAACTTTGAAAACATATATAGGGAACTAAATAAGGCTTATTCCTGTAATTAATTATATCAATACTTAAAGGATGACTGACTAACTTGTATTTTCTAACAGTCTATAATAAGTTATCAGCTTTCCTAAGACTAGAACTTTACATTCTGTAGTGATTTTCAATTAAAACTAATAAAGAAAATGAATTAGTCATTCTAAGGGTAAAAACAGAACAAGTTTGTATCCAACTGTTAATGCTGTCTCCTGGGAAGACAGGAAAAATTCCCAGAGTAAAATGAGAACAGAACAGGAGGGATCTAAGAGGTGGCATTGTCCTAGGGCAAACTGAAACTTGAGCCTACTTTCCTACTAATCTAAAGAACCCATCTTGGTAGGTGTGTACCAAGTTGCCCTAGGCAAACTGCCTTTGGTCCTACATTTTCCCCCTTCACAAATATTGATGACAGTACTCAATCAGGAGCTCAAGGGGTGATACTGGGACATCAATCCATCAGTTAAATAGTATTGAGCAGTTCTTGAACAAAAGCCATCAGTCTGTTTATGAGGCGGGTGGTGTAGGAGGTCCTTCTGACTATGTGTTGATTTCATTGGTTAATGAATAAAGAAACTGCCCTGGCCTGTTGATAGGGCAGAACTTAGGTGGGGGTGGGGTGGAACTGAATTCTGGGAAGAAGAAAGGAGAGAGAGAGAGAGAGAGAGAGAGAGAGGCAGGCCATGGATCCACCAAAGATAGATGCTTAGAATTTTATCTAGTAAGCCACTGCCATGTGTGGCAATATACTGATTAATGGAAATGGGTTAAATCAAGATGTGAGAGTTAGCCAATAAGTGGCTAGATAGAGCTAATGGGACAAGCAAAGATTTAGTTAATACAATTTCTGTATGGTTATTTCAGGGCTAAGCTAGCCAGGCAGGTTGGATGAACAAGCAGGCCCTTTTTCCAACAATTGGTGCTCACATGGTCAACTAAAAACATGTAAAACATTTCATTGTATGGGCTACTAAGCTAAACCAGCATGTATATTGTAAAGTTATCTTGGCTTCAAAATTTGGGTTTAAGGACATGTTGCTTGGGAAAAGAGGTTCTACTTTTGTTTTAACAGAAGATGAGAACCTGTGGATTGCTTTTAGGCGAATATGGTTTCATGACCAAGGTCTCCTGAAAGGTCGCCATAAGCACTCTCAAAAAATTACATCACATAACTGCTGACTGAGATGAACCTAGCACATATATACACCATTAAAGACCTGATTAACAGTGCCCCCAAACAGCAAGAAGCAGTATGGACAAAACTATGCTCATATTCCCAAATATTGCTTATAAATGTTTTTTTTACATTTAAAGGAGAATATAATATAGATAAGAACAATTTGCATTGGTATAGATCTTTGTTTATTGATATAAATTTAAAGTCAATTCTTTTATATGTATATGTCTTCTCTTGATTAAGATATTGTGATTGTGTAGCTCATTTAAAAATGTAATGTATAATTAAGAAATATAGGTTAATAGAGAGTCATCTTTAATAGTCAAGCTCGTAGTCATGTTAGTTAGATTTTCTAATTGTATAGAGATATATTTCAGTTAGGTAGGTATTCTTCAAATTTTCAGAGACCTTCGGAATATGGCATTTAAAATGTTTTAATAACTTAGGACTTTTCATAACAATGAACCACATCTGTTCCTGGCAGCACCAATCTACTTCAAGAGGAAGATGGGCACTGAAGAGGCTCCCTATGGAGTTGGTTAGCCATTTGAGCAAGAAACTGCTCTTGCCTAGGACCCACAGAGCAATGACTGCTGAACTTGCCTAAAGGTGAGATGATATTTAGGGATCCTGCTTCATGAAAAATCTGCCAGATATTCTGCAAGACACAGAAGAAAGTGACTGAAAACTGCCGATATAGATTGAAGTGTCTTTGAAACTTCCTGCTCCAGGGAAAAGCCTGCTGGATAATATGGGCCAGTAGGCTAAAGACAGATGCCCCAACAGTACAGAGGAACTTTGGGTGACTTTCCAGATAGTGAAATGTTTCTGTTAATTCTAGAGTTTTGGAAGTTGTTTATAATGCTTTTCCTGTTTATTTAGTAAGATTCCTTCTTGAGTCTTTGATGGAGTTGTATAATTTATAGTTATAGTGTTTCTTAGTTATGATAAAAGATAAAGTTGATATAAATATTGTAACCGTAGTTCTTGGTTGATACCTGTTTTGTTATATGTAGTTTTGTTATGTTAAAGTTAAAGCCTTCCTTTTTGTTTAAACAGGAAAAGGGAAATGGTGTAGAAGGTCCTTCTGGCTATGTGTTGCTTTCATTAGTTAATGAATAAAGAAACTGCCCTGGTCTTTTGCTAGGGCAGACCTTAGGTAGTTGGGGAAGTTGGAACTGAATTCTGGGAGGAAGAAAGCAGACAGAAAGAGATGCCATGGATCCACTGGAGACAGACACTTAGAATTTTACCTGTAAGTCACCGCCACATGGCAATATATTGATTAATATAAATGGGTTAAATCAAGATGTGAGAGTTAGCCAATAAGAGGCTAGAGCTAATGGGACAAACAGTGATTTAATTAATACAATTTCTGTCTGGTTATTTCAGGGCTAAGCTAGCTTGGCAGCTAGGAAGAACAAGCAGGCCCTTTTTCCAACAGGCAGGGACCAAGAGTAAGTAGTAAAAGCAAGATCATTAGGGGGCCTATTGGCTGAAAGTAAAGTGGTTAACCTAAGAGACCAGTTAAACAAGTTTTCATACCATCTAGCTTCCCCATGAGTATTCTATTCCTATCATTAATCTGTTTTTGTAACAAGGCCATTGAATCTGTTATTACCCCCAGAGTGATTGACATAGAAACAACATTCTTACCCCCAGGGAAGCATATAAGACTTCTTGTTGCATAAAGAGGAGATCCAAACCTCTTTGATTCTGTGTGGTAACCTTAGTCAGGGAATCTAAAGAGGCCTCTAACTTGAGTATAGGCTGTTCTGTTTTTGAGATCTGAATTGGTGGCTGACTGTAGGGCCTGGTAGTTTTTTTCTTGGAGGATTAAGGCTGATGTGCTCACCCTCATTGCTCCAGCTATTCCCAGTCCAAACAGAAAAGAGAGAGCAAGATAGCTATTGCCCCTATTGCCAATTTTGCTTTGGTAGGAAAATGGGATAAGGTCAGTGCTGTGGGAGGAACTTCCGCTCCTTCAGCCAATAGCCGCTGAAGTACGAGCCCACTATGCTGCATGAGCCCCTTCAGCTCCTTCAGCCAATAGCTGCTGAAATACTAACCCACTGGGGCATGGTCTATTTATCTTTAAAAATGAGCAGCAAGCCTTGGCTCGCTCTCTTGTTTCCAGTGCTTGGTTCTGGCTCCTGCTCCAGCGACTAGGCTCCTTTCCTGAGATGGTTGGTGTTTTGTGAGTTTTACCCCCAAAATAAATACCCCTATAAATCCTAACTGGTGTGGGATTGTTTCGTGCATTGGGTCAGTTCCATTTGGGCCTTTGTATACTATTTTATGTTGGGGAAAAATTGGACCATCACACAAAATATTTTTTTTTAAGGACTGCCCCATGGATGCAGGGAGTTAGTCTTGAATTGCAAGCCCACCATCCAGCAGATGCCAAATAGAGGGTGTTATTTTGTATGATGATGATCTGGCTACAAAGACCCACTGGGGATTGTCTTCCAGGGAGCACTACACAGGTCCTCATACCTGTCACCTGCTGTAGTGAAATTTTTCCTTGTTTTCCCCATGGGTAGGATTTTGGGAAGACTGAGGTGTCACTAGCTATTGCAACGCCAACATAAAAGGTGGTTGTGCATTCAGACAAAGTCAGCATTCTTTAGTCAAATTAGGTTTCAAGGCATGGATGTGATGAATCCAAGTTGTGATTCCATCTACCTTCAGGGCTGTTGGAGTTATCAGGATCACAGTATATGATCCTTTCTAGTGCGGCTGAAGGGTCTCCCTCTGATATCTCTTTATGAAGACCCATTCTCCTGGCTGAAACTTGTGAGGCATGGGTGGTGGTGCTGTCTCATAAATGATTCTCAGGCAAGACCATATGTCCTTATGCACAGGAGCTACAACCTTGAGGGAAACAGCCAGGTTAACATTATCAAATTCAACAAAACGCTCCAATTTTAAGTCGGACAAAATAGGAGGTGTCTCCTAAACATGATTTCAAATTTGGTTAATCCCAAGGTATAGGGTGAATTTGGAACCCTATAAAGGAGAAAAGGAGAAGAGCCACCCAGTCACTACAAGTTTCCAATGTTAATTTGGTAAGGGTCCCTTTTAGGGTCCTGTTCATGCACTCGACCTCACCTGAACTCTGGGGCCTATAAACACAATGTAATTTCCAATTCACTCTCAGTGCCCTTAACAAGAGCTGCATTACCTGAGAGATAAAAGTTGGTCTACTGTCTGAACTTAAGAGGATAGGAGTACCATACCTTAAAATTATGTCCTCAAGTCATGGTTTGGTGAACATCTGTGCAGTTTCATGTTTTTCAGTTGGAAAAGTCTCAAACCATCCAGAAAAAGAATCTATACATACGTTTGCCATCACATGTAAAGCTACTCCCATCTGTGTACCAGGTGAGCTTGGCATCTGGCAAGGGCTGGTCTTGTAGGTCTTTTCTCAGTCAGTTTCTGGGTTGTTATACACTCTGAGCTACTGCTAACAGCTCCCAAATGCTCTTATCTATCTTACAGATGCCCATCTATCTTCTGTAACTTGTGCCTAATGTCAGACACAGCCTGATTAATAAAGACAATAACCATGGCTGACATATTCTCCTTAGTCTTAGGATATATAGGAGAGTATGCCCTAAAAGCCTTCATAATCCAATCTAAGAAGACTGATAGAGATTTTGTCTTTTCTTGTAGTATATCACTGACTTTGGCCAAATTGGTGGGCTGTCAGCTGGCCATGCAAAGACCTCTCATCAGAACCTGTTGGTAGACCCAGAGCCTCTTCTTCCCTTCTGCCAAGTTAAAATTCCTGTTAGGAAAGGTCAGGGAGAAAGCTTGCTTTGTTAGAGCAGGGTTGACAGTTGGGTTTTCAACAGGTCCTGGGACCAACTTTTGGGCCTCTGTCAGAATTCTCTCTTTCTTCCATGGTAAACGGCATGGTAAACAACTGATTGTAATCTTCCCAGGTTGGTTAATGGGTGAATATAACAAAATCTTAAAGGTTAATAAGGGCCCTTGGATTGAGAAACTGGGGTTTTGGTTTTTCCAGTTATAGAGATCACTAGAGGTGAAGGGTCAATGCTGTATCTGTTCATAGCTCTCCTTGTCCTGTGGGCTGACCTTCTCAAGAGAAGAGCAGCAGAGTTGGCCACCTGGGGCAATTCTCATTGTGCCCATCCTCTGGTGAATGGTGGGCCTCCCAAATTCCCTGAGGCTCCCTGGGCCCTCTCCCTGGCTACCTGATCAGTTCGGTGAGGTGGTCGGTAATGAGGGAGGTGAGAAACGAAGTTCATCCTCTGTAACCCCTAGAAGCACAGGAGCAGATGAGGGCTTAAGATCCTCTCATCTTTTTCCTCCTGTATGGCAAAGATAGCTTTGTTTTTCAGCCCCCTGGAAATTAAGGGTTTTAATGAAGCGGGAGGGTGTGCTACAAGGTCCTCCCAAGTGATTAGGTAAGGAATCTGGTCTGGGTGTCCAGATTCACCAAAAATCAAGTCTTTTGTCAAAGGTTCCCTCTATCAGTCAAGCGGTTCCAAAAGCTGGCCATTAGGTTTTGCAAAAGATGGTAAGTTTACCCTTTTTAGTTTCGAATTTTTCTTTCTTTGCTCTATTTCTAATGTCTCGAAAATGGTCCAGAATCAAAGTTATGGTAGCGGGGGTACTCTCAGTCTGTCCAAAATCATCAGCATCAGTCTAATTTGGGACATAAACAGAACAATACACAGACACACAGGGCAATGAACAGATAAATAGTCCTTCTGGCACCCTGGAGGCAGAATTGAAATGGAAATGCCTAGAGTACAACCCGCACATCTGTCTACTGAACTGAGATGCTGGGAGCCTTCTGCACATCTATCTACAGAAACCAGAGAGGTCCACTCATACAGCTGGGCCCTGGGGACATCTCCTCAGATACCGCCCCTCTCACTCCCCCTATGATCTTTTCATACATTCACATACACCGTCTACATGCTCTTACAGTTTCTGGGTCTACTTACAGAAAGATACAAGACACAGAAAGCCATGAGACACACACACACACACACACACAAATAAAACACAGAAAACTTACTGGCTGGTTGAAGACTATACGGGTGGCAGTCCTAGTGGGCTTGGGGAATCCTGGATGAGCTCCCAAATGTTATGCCCATATCCAAAAAGTCCTCATAAAACCAATAAGGAGACCGAGTCCTGAATGTGAAAGTAAAAAGCCTTTATTCTACACGAGATTGAAAACTCAGACTCTCCACGTGTTCAACTTATTAGAGTGATCAGAAAGCCCTGAGCTCAATTAGAGTTGGGTTTTTATAGTAGTAAAGGTGGGAGTGAGGGATTTCTAAGGTTCAGGACTCCCAATTGGTTGACATTTGTCTAGGGGGTCTCCTGGTAAATGTGTGCTAGCAGGTGGTCCTATCTACAAGGATCTTGGAACTTTAGGAATTTCCTTTGGATGGTCTGTTCCTGGGTGGTTCCCTGGGCAGTCCCAGTGTGTGGTATTTATTGGAACCAGGTATTACTTCAGGGTAAACTACTGAGACTCAGGCCTCTATTAAGCTTATCATGGCTGGGTACTACAATGGTGTGAGTTGGAACCATGGTGGGTCAGAGCTGTCCAAGAGACTTCAAAATATACTGCCTATTGTTGTTGTCCTTGGTCCAGCAGAGTTATAAGTCCTTGTTGCTAAAGACACAATGTACTTCAAAAACAGGGCCCAGAGTCCTCTGAACTAAACTGACCTGAACACCTCTTCCCAAGGGCTACCTTTCATGGTACCAGAAAGCAACGTACAAGTTTCTAAAAGAAGAAGAAGCCAACCAATAATCCTGCCCAGCTGTAATGACTGTGAAACACAACAATCAGAATGTTACAATAAACCTAAGGGTGCAGAAGTGGCATGCATACCCTGCTGGTAACCAATGGCTTTTTAGTTGAACTTATAGCATACTCAACAAATGGGAAACTGTAGGCCCATATTTCTGTATGGTGTGGCCACCAGGAGACAAAGTCATAGGCCCCATTCTAGGGGGGTCACATAGCTCTGCAGACAAGCTGTCTCTGCCTAACAATGGTCAGGATGTTTGGTGCTCCTTCCTTTGTAATTTGGAGGATTTCTTATAGAGATGCTAATTCAGGCCTATGTGACAACTAGCATACTCAGCAAACAGGTAGATGCGGATGTGACAAAAGGCCATTCACCTGGTTACCTCAGAGACAGCCTAATGTACCCCCCCCCCCCGCTCAATTTATGTGTTGGTATATAAGCTGTTTGGATAATAAACACAGGGAGATTGTCAGGAGAAAGGACCCTGAGATGCCCTTCCGTAATGATCTTGTAAGCTGTGTCTGATTATTCCTTGCGGCTCTGTACCAGTCCAGTTAGGGAAAATAGTTATCTGTGTTGGGGCCCACACAGGCTCTAACAGGAAACCATAGATGGTACTGGAAACCTAACCACTACTCAGTGATAATGAAGTCATGGTCATTGGAGAAGAACTTAAAACCACTAATTTAGGGAAACAGCATAATCTCTACCAACAGTTCTAACATGTGTCTTTATATCCACAGATAAGCACAGACTTCACCTTTATCAAGGAAACTTCTCATTGCAACAGACAGATCACTGCAGAAAACCACAACCAATCAAAATACAGCTGTGAGCCTTCATCCAGTAACTGATGGAAACAGATGCAGAGATCCACAACTAAGCACTGGACTGAACTCCTAGATTCTGATCATAGGGAGGGAGCAGTGATATTATGAGCAAAGGGGCCAAAACTGTGATGGTGACACCACAGAAACAGCTGACTGGAGCAAGTGGGAGCTCATTGACACTGTTTTAACAGCTGGGGAACTTGCATAAACCTGAACTAGGCCCTCTGAATGTGGGTGGCAGTTGTGTGGCATGGGCAGTTTGTGGGGCCAATAGTAGTGTAACCAATATTTATTCCTAGTGCTTAAACTGGCTTTTTGGAGCTCATTCCCTATTGATGGATACTTTGCTCATACTGTATACATGGTAGAGGGCCTTGGTCCCGCCTCAAGAGGTAGGGCAAACTCTTACTCTGCACAGGAGGCCTCACCTAAGGAGTGGATGGGGGTGGAGAGGGGAGAAGGTGGAGAGGATAGGAGGAACGAGGATTGATATGCGAAATAAGATTATTTAAAAAATACTTTAAAAAATTAACAAAATAGAGTTATGCATACATCTACAAAACAGCTTCCACATCTAAGGCTCAGGAAACATTGTGGAAATTGGAGCAGCAAGATTATAAGATTCAGAGTAACAGAGAAGTTGACACAAAACTGTATTTTCCTAGTAACATCAGAAGCTATACCTATAAGGTCAGACCAATGTGACTGCCCAACAATAAGATGAAAAAGGACATCACCATTAGCCTTGACAAAGTGTATAAGGAAAGCCCAGGAGGCCATAACCCCACATAAAGAACTACATGTTACTAAGGACTACTGAGAGTAGCAGAAATAGTATTACTAAAAGAGCATGCCAGTTGGTTAACCAATATCAATGGTCAGTTCAGAAAACATAATATTACTAACATTATATAAACTGAGCATATTCTATTTAGGAATATATATTTATATATGCACATGCATATAATAACACATAATTAAAAAGAGGTTATGAATTTGAAAAAGAGCAAGGAATAGCTATGGGAAGGGTTGGAGGGAAATAGAAAAAGGGAAAAATGTAATTCATTATTATCTCAAACATAAAGGGAAAGAAGTCCCCAGTTTTCTAAGAAATGACTCACTGATATAAATCCCATGAGTTAATTTTTGAGGTGCTTTACATTTTATCAATGTACCAAATTTCAACTATTCCAAAATTCATTTGAGACTTTCATTCATACTTTTCTGAGTAATTTTGAACAAAATCAAGCATATAACTAATAACACATCTGCTTTTTTTTATATCATTATTCCTCGTACTTTAATCTAGTTCTGTTACAGATTAAAGGAATACTTATTTCTTGGAATCCAGTTCTAGAACACCTGGAATCTGCTTGCATTAGTAATGATTTCCAACCACAGTTAATAATTTATCGTTCACTGAATACATTCTGTATTGAAGGTTTTTCTGTCATGTATTTGAACATTTCAGGGTTTTTGTTTGTTTGCTTGTTTCTTAGAAAGAAAAAAATGAAGAGAATACTGAAAATGTTTTCTCTAGGACACAGTTTAAAATATTATTTGTCTGCTTTATTTTTTGACCCAGAAAAGTCACAATATAAGTAATTCTTATTTTTTATTAGTTTCTGTGTATGTCGTAAAAGTATTTTACTTTTTCATGGAATATACAATTAACCAGTTTCACTAAATGCAAAAAAACAAAAATGACAAAAACAAAGAATTCTGGTGCCAGCAAGATGGTTTCTGGTTAAGAGAGCTTTCTTTTTATCAGTGGACTAGAGTGCAGATCAGTCTTCTATATCAGGCAGTTCACAAATACCTAATATTGCAGTTCCAAAGGATATGATACCTCCTTCTCCTTAGCATGTGCACTGACACAGAGAGAGAGAGAGAGAGAGAGAGAGAGAGAGAGAGAGAGAGAGAGAGAGAGAGAGAGAGAGAGAGGCAAAGAGCTATCTGGTTTCTAACCACTGTAATTATTCAATTTTATGATAACTATAGCAATATGGAGACCATGAACTCAAAACTAATAGTCTCAGTGTCAGTGGTGCTAGTTTATGGAAGAATCCATGCTGGTAGCCATGACAGAGGAGTTGTAGTCAGCAATGAAGCTTATGTTCTTCATTTCAACAAACAAGAGCTAAACACTGATCATCTCTAGAATACCCCTTGCTTCAGCTGTGCTTCCTTTTGTTTGCTACTGCTGTGTTTTTACCATATTGTGTGTGGTGTGATTACTACGTGAAGGACTCCAACTTTTCCTAGTATAATGTTATTGGTTCTTAGAAAAATCCCACACCTCACTGCCTAATTTACTTGCAGATCATAGTTAAGGTGATTTTATAAGAGAAGTGATGATCTATGAATTACTTGTACTTTCTGGATTAGCCTAAAAGATACAGTGGGTTAGGATACTTAGTAAAGATGATTTTGGAAAATGGTTTTGGTTATTGTGCCAACTACTCTAGTAAAAGACACAAAATAAAATGCAAAAACAGGCTAAAAGTTACCTTCGCCTTTGTTAGATGTGAAATTTACAAAAGATGAAAGATAAAAACAAGGAAGTTCCATGCATTATAGACCCATGAATTCTACCTGTGGAATAACAGGCAGGTGATTGCAGAAAACAATTATGTCCTACACCTATATTTAGGCCTGAGTTCTTTTGCCATGTAGTGTAGAGAATTAGTCATAGATCCCAGCATACACCTTGAAAAAACAAAATTGTGAAAAAAAATCAAATGACCCTATTGTGTGTAAAGAAAAATAGATGGTTAGACCAATTAAATGAAGTTTTATAGGTATCTGCTACACTAAAGCCGCAAACAGCTGCCTGCTAGTACAAAAGAAACTGGTTGAATATATTTGGCTTGCTTAAAACTTTGTTAGTTAATTATGAAAGAATCATTGCCTTGGGATGATGATGTAATGGTGGGAAAATTAATACGAAGAAAATTGTTTAACTACTTGTGGGCTTCTAAGAAATACATGTAATTTATGATCTTAATATGATTTATTCTTTCATAAAGATTTTAGTTTTGGAAAATAAGTTAATTGTGGTTGTGAGGTAATGTTTTCTTGTGTAGAAAGTTTTGTATTAGGAGGTATACATGGGTAAACAAATATAACAGATAAAATAAGAACAAACGATGTAGAAGGAAAAATATCAGGAAACAAAGAGAAAGAAATCATTAGGGAAAAATAGAAGGATAACATTAGAAAGCATAGGCGAACAACTGTGTACAAAAAGTCAAACAAAAGCAACAGGGTAAAAGAACAGAGCAGAGAGAAAACAGAGGAATAACAACCAGCAAAATGAAATATAAAATGAAGAATGAAGCTTTTTTCCCCCATGTGTAACTGCACTATGTCCAACAGTTTACCTATTCATATGTCCTCTCCAGCTTTTCTGACCTAGGAGAGCCTGCTGAGGACTGGGTTCCCCCAGTGGCGAAACCACAATCATATAAATAGATAAACTGATTCTGAATGCTAACAATGAGTTGCATTGTGTCAACCTCATTTCTCCCACAGGCCATTGGTTAAACATTGGACAAACGCTAGGAATTAGGCTCTGCCCTTCCTATAAACAGTGTATGACTAAAAAAAAAAAAATATATAGACCATCTGCCCTAGCAGAAAAGTGAAGAATAATGAGTTTCAAACACTGGTGTGTGGGATTAAATGATGGCCACATCATGCCTCTACTGGGCTATGGAACTGCTCAAAATCCACAGGTAACAAAAGATATAGGGCCAGGAATGGAGGATCTCAAAAGAAAATTGACCTATGATGTGTTGGAGCCGAACTCTCATTTTTCATCCCTGGTTTTCAGTTTCTGTTAGATGGGGATATTTCATGTTAAGACTGAAAATAGCTAGAATGTAGCTTAATAGAGTCTGATTATGCTATTGATGATTGACTATTCTGTGTTTTCTCTATTTTAATTCATTTGCCAGCTTAGTTCTAAATATGAAAGTTATTAGTCTACAAACTGCCGCACAGCCTTCTTGACTTGATAATAATAAAATCGGGAGTCATTTTTCTGTTTATTTCTACAACTTAGGACATCTTTCTTCCTTACTTGCAGTAATGGAAAACACTAGAAAATAGATGTGTCAAAAGTTACTGGAAATGTGAGGCACAGAATGACTGGTAGAGGAGAACTTCAGATCTTCAGGGAAGCCTTCACCAACTCTCAGGAAGTGGTGAAACTGACATAAGTAGGATTTAGTACTGACAACTGTGGGATATTTACTTGAATGTAAAATGTAAAAACTAGGGAGACATTAAACTTATGGAAGCTTCAATGAACTACTTGCTCTTGAGGTGATAAAAAGGATACTATGACTTGAATTATACAAAGTAGAGAATTTAGTAGCCCAGAAGCAAATCAATAGTCTAAAATATTCCTTAGACTGCTCAACTGTGAAATGTTGAACAAATTAACTGAATTTTGTATCCATAGTCATATCCCTTGAATAATTATGAATATTATGGTAGAACTTAGTTATTTGAAGAAGTCATAGTGCAAATGGCAGAACAGTATGAAGTGTTCTCCTAAGTTGCACCTCAATGAATCCTTCATCAAGCTCAGAAAGTCAGGTTGCTCTCAGGAGAGGAATATGTAAATCACCAGCTCTGCATTGTAATTTTAATGAGAAAAAAAATTTCTGAAATCAATAAACTGTATGGGCAGTTTTTGCTTTGCCCCTAAGAAGTAAACTTGCAAGATATTACCCAAATATAAATAAAAAGCAAAAATTTAAAATTCTACCTTAAAAAGGTCTCTGTAAAAAAATGAATTTGTGCTTTAAGTGATTATAGAAGTAGTAACAACCATGACATGGTGAGGGTAATTTCCCATTTTAAAACATGAGTTCATAGATTATAGACTTCCCATCTATAATTTGTTTGATGACACAGAGTAAAATTTTGAGTTCCATAATTTAAAATATCATAGCCATATAAGTTCAAATACTGTTATCAAACTCACTCTTAGTAACATTGTTTTTGTTTTCTATATTAGAACTATTGAGAATATTAACTATGTCTTTACTGACTCCTACTAGCAGTGACTATGTGTGTCTAATTTCCTTTAGACAAGTAGAACATTTTGCATGCTACAATAGGTGTGAAGGTAATCAGTGCTTGGAGAAATTTTAGGGCATGATTTAAAATACTTTTGTAGATACATTTCTCATGCATTGTCATATTTCAAGACTAGTGGAATGAAAATTTTATGTCTTTCTTCCATGATTTCTCATAGAAACTCCATGGAAGTATATATATTCTCTCTAAGGGGGGGGGTGATTCAGATGTGATCATAACCACATGCAGTTTCCTGGCAAGTCTAGGAAATCAATGATCTTATTGTTTTAGGTAGTCAATTATGAACCAACATTGCCCGTGTATGAAGAGATTCTTAAGACAACAAATTCTTATTTAAAAAAAGAGACCAACATAAAAATTTATATGTGTCTGGTGCTCCAGTGTGGGTCTCTGTCTCTATCTCCATCCATCGCCAGATGAAGGTTCTATGTGTCCCAATGAGGAGTAGAAAGAGGGAGAATATGAGCAAAGAAGTCAGGACTACAAGGGGTGCACCCACCCACGGAGACAGTGGGGCTGATCTATTGGGAGCTCACCAAGGCCAGCTGGACTGTGACTGAAAAAGCATGGGATAAAACCGGACTCTCTGAATATGGCGGACAATGAGGGCTGCTGAGAAGCCAAGGACAATGGCACTGGGTTTTGATCCTACTTCATGTTCTGGCTTTGTGGGAGCCTAGCCAGTTTGGATGTTCACCTTCCCAAGACCAGGAGGGGGGGGGGGGGGGACTTTGGACTTTCCACAGGGCAGGGAACCCTGACTGCTCTTCAGACTGGAGAGGGAAGGGGAGAGGAGTGGGGGGAGGGGGAGAAGAGGGGGAGGAGGGGGAGGGAAAAGGGAGACGGGGAGGGAGATGGGAGGCGGGGAGGAGGCGGAAATTTTTTTTCAATAAAAAAATTATATTACAAAAAATAAAAATAAATAAATAAATAAAATTTGTATGTGTTTATTGCTCCATATGCAGAAGCAATGAATGTCATCAGTAATGTAACAGGACCCCAGGCTTTAGCACAACTGACCCATGATGGAAGTGTAATTCAACACATAGACAGCACCACCTGTCAAAGTTAAAACAAATACTTAATCCATAAATAAACATTAGGAAAGTAAATATACTAACCTTGCTTTTTGGCTTCTGTAGTTCTGCTCTGGATAACTGTTCTTGCTAACTGAATTCAATTCAGGAAATGATTTTTGTGTTTGAAAGCTCACCCTGAAGAAAGATCAGCACTAGACTAGGATCTTGAATGCCCTGTGTAGTCACTGGCAAGCAAAGAAAGGACTTCTCTTGGCTTAAAACCATGCCTGAGCAGTCTTGTCTGGTGAACACCCTACAACTGTTTAAAGTCCACTCATGGAACAGTAATTGCTTCTGCTTATGTATTCACCGTTGCTCACTGGATGGTCTGTAAAGCCTTATGCGAAGTGAAGCATGAAATAGTATTCCAGGAACTAATACTTTGTCATTTAATTAACAGGATGGAAGATGATGTTTAACTTCATATCTCTCAGGATATTTAGATCCAAATCATAATGTTGTTTCCCAATCTAGGTTTCTAAGAGTAAGATATTAAAGTCGACTAAAATAGCAATAGATGTTGGGTTTCGCCATATTGATGCTGCTTATGCATACAAAAATGAAGAGGAGATAGGACAGGCTATTCGAAGTAAGATTGCAGATGGTGTTGTGAAGAGAGAAGATATATTCCTCGCTACAAAGGTATTGTGTGTATAGTAAGTTAGTTTATGATTTATTGAAATGCAATGAAAACAATCTAAAATAATAGCTTACCATCAGGTGAAATGTGTTTGTGTATATAAATAAATGTATAATATTTATTCACATATATATTCCATGTGAGACTTAGTTTTAATCAGAGAGAACCATAAGCTGCTGCTGCTGCTTCTTCTTCTTCTTCTTCTTCTTCTTCTTCTTCTTCTTCTTCTTCTTCTTCTTCTTCTTCTTCTTCTTCTTCTTCTTCTTTTACAAATGTATATCTTTCAAATTCTTTTCTTTCCTGACCCTGGGCTCAACACAGCATGATTCAGTCTGATCAGTGAACTCAGAAATAACCTTGATCCGTTTTGGGTTTTCCTTATAACTTGGGTGGCATAGAAAATTCTGGACATTTATAATATTATTTTTTATTTCCTACTGAAAATAACAAAATATAAGAGTTTATGGAATGGTAAACACAATCTATCCAGTTCCTGAAATTTGTGCTCAGTGGTTACCAAACATCCATAGCACATTTCCTATGATTTATATTAATAAGAATTGCTAACATATTTCCAGGAATCTGACAGGGTGGAATACTTATAGAAATTTAGGTTTTTAAGATCTATATATTATTCAGAGATGCAAGCAGTTATAAACTGGTAAATTTTACCCCCTTAGTAGTGCCCTTTCCATATTAATTGAATTACCTAACTGTAACCAATAATATTTTAAAGTTTACACAGACAGATCAGATCAAATAGCCCAAGTGAAAGAAACTGTATTCCCTGTGGTCATAATTTCCTAATCATTACAACATTTTTTCAATTCTGATTATTTTATCCTAAGACAATATCCATTCTTTTACCCTACAGCTATGGTCTACGTTCCATCGACCAGAACTGGTCCAGCTTTGCTTAGAAAAGTCACTGAAAAAATTTCAGCTAGATTACGTTGATCTCTATCTTATTCATTACCCAATTTCAATTAAGGTATGCCATTTACTTTATTTAGCCTAATTAAATTTGTCTATATAAATGATAGATGGTGTTGTGTTCCACTTATTTTTATGGATCTTTACTTTTCTATTTCCAATTGACTTATAAGACCATTGCAATGGGTAGAATGCATATATTTGCTGTGATTTCTATAACCACTGCTTTCATTCCAGCCATCAGAAGAGCTATATACAAAAGATGAAAATGGAGAAATATTATTTGAGACAGTAGATCTCTGTGCTACATGGGAGGTGAGTACATGAAGGTAACACATCAGAGAAACCCAAAAGAGAGTCAGGCCATGCTTTCAGTTATAAAAATGGAGTATGTACCCTTAAGTCTAGAAAGCATTGTGTATTTACTTTTGTTTTCCTGAAGTATTGAAAAGAATATGTGGCTAAATAGAGAGAAATAGAAGAGAAGACTGGAGTACAATTGTGAGAGGACTCTCTGAAATATCACATATGGGTATGTTTTAATAAAGTCTGTCCCCATGCTCTACCCTCCAACTCCTTCTCACCGCCATTTTCCTCCCAACTCATATACTCCTCTTTAGACCCAATGAGTTCACTTAGTACTGCTAGTATGTGCAGGGGTAATGTACTCCCAGATATGTACTCCATCAGAAGGTGAAAATGATGAAAACTAATTCTTCCTTCCTCTAGCACCCACCATTTGAGAAGAGTTCCTCAGCTAAGGGCAGGAGTCTTTGAGCCCCATCTGATCCATGCTGGAATTTTGGTTGTCTTTAAACTTGTATGGACTGTTCAGGTGTAGTGGCTGTGTGTTCATGTGTACAAACCCTGACATATGTGAAAAATGACTCATGGCAATCTTCTACTACTGGGGGATGTTTTGATCTGTCTACCCCCATACTGTGATGATCCCTAAGCCTTAGGGAATAAACTTTGGTAAGGATTCATGATTTAGGGCTGAGAAATTCACAATCTCTCATTGTACTACACTTTGATCAATTCTAAGCCTGCATAAATTGCCATGTACTGCAAAAAGAAGCTTTCTGGTAAGGTTTGGGAGTCTGTAAAATAAAGATAAATATTAAGGGGCAGTTTGTGGTATCCATTTATCAGAATAATAGTAGGCTCTCCATGAGGACCTATGACCCAGCTATAAGCAGATTCTTGGCTGAGATTCTTGGCTCAGTTAATAGTACCAAATATGAATTGTATCCTGTGGGGTCACCTGTACATCTAATAATAAAGTAGATGATAACTCCATTAGCAGTTGTGGTATTCATGGACCAATGGATACTTCTTACCAGGCTGCTCATTATTGTAGCTCATAGAGTTTATAGCTAAGTAAGAGAGTTGACTATTTTTATCCCTTATTAGTGTATACAGCAACTTCAAGCATTATAAAATCTACTCAGTAGTGATAAAGCTTCCAGGTCTCTATCAGACGTCTTTCTTCATATCCTGTGAGTCAAGAATCTGTTATCTGCATCAAAAATATCTTACCATCAATTTATGGAGACTACTGAAGAGCAAAGACAATAACTTGTACTGTTTTAAGGGTCTATGATCCTCCAAGGACCAACAATTTGATTTGAAGTGATAACAAACACAATATTTGACTTTTAAAAAAAGATTTATTTATTTATTATGTATACAATATTCCTTGCATGTATGCTTGCATGCTAGAAGAGGGAACCAGATCTCATTATAGATGGCTGTGAGCCACCATATAGTTGTTGGGAATTGAACTCAGGACCTCTGGACGAGCAGTCAGTGCTCTTAACCTCTGAGCCATCTCTCCAGCCCAAAAACCTGACTTTTTATGTGATAGTCTATGATATCTAGAAAAGATATTTTCCATTAAGCTTTTCTCATATCCATATATATGTATACAGAAGCTTTTACAGTAGTGCGTTTCCATTTGGCTTTTTCGTAAGACTTCAGAGTTAGTTATTTCTCCCTTACTTTTTCCTCTTCTCTGCTTTCCTGTCCCTACACCACTTTAACACTTCTTTCTCCATGACTCCCCATTCTGCTTTCACACCACCTGAATTCTACTACTCTCCCTTGAAACCTACCCCACCATGGCTATTTTCTCCTTTCCTGACTTCTATAGGCACTCTAATTTAAATACATACCTAAGAATTCAAAACTAAGATTAACACATAAAAGAGAACATGTGATATTTATCTTTCTTGTTTTGGGTTATCTCACTAAGAATGATTATTTCCAGCTCAATCCATTTACTAATGCAATAGAATTTTAATGCTAACTGCTAACTTTAAAATTTCATTTGTATTTACAGCTTAATAAAATTGCATTATGTATCTGGACCACATTTACATGTCCTTTCATTCCCTGATGGAGGCTAGGTGTTTCCACACTCTAGATATTGTGAATAGAGCAGTAGTGAATATAGATAAGCAAATGTCTTGATAGTAAAATATATTCCTAGTGGTATAGCAGTATCAAACAGTAGCTAAATTTGAGCTTTATGGGGAATTTCTGGGAGTACCTACTAGTAAGAGATTGCAGTCTATCACAGCCTAGCATCTCTTTCTGAGCTCAACAACATAAATGACTCCTTCCCCCTCGAAGAATGAGTGTTGCTGTCTTCTTGAACTTATGTAGATAATGTTTATAGGCCCAAATGTCTGGCTTATCTCTAGTATGACCCTTGTTGCACTTCCATGCAGAAGCTTTCCCCTGCTGCTCTTATGGTAACTAGACATTGTGTTGGGAGCCTTAAAATAACACAATAGGACCATGCTTTTACAGATGATAACTAAGAATAGTACTAGGAGCTGAATGATAGGACAGTAGTGCTTCATGCAAATTAGGTGACTCCCTACCTACTGTCCCTGATCTTATATATTCCCTATGCTTTGAAATAAAGTCGAGCTAATTCGCTGATGTTATCTATCAGAGGCTTATCTTTGTCATACTCCCAAGCTGGACAAGATCCAGTTGCTACTTCTGCCCCCTTTGCCCTGTGGCCTGGTGGTCAATGGACTGTGGGGCAAGAAGACTCACACAAAGAACCTCCAAATCAATTTCATTCACCTCTACACCAATTTTGACATGTACTAACAGCAAATAAGTGTTCCATTTTTCCCATATCTAGTCTAGTATGTTTTCCTTTCATGGTTTTCGCATTTTGGCTGAATTAAGATTGTTTCAAAATTGGTTTAATTTGCATTTTTCTGATAGATGCGAATGTTGAACATTCTAAAACATGTTTGTTAATCATTTGTATTTCTTTGTTAACTCCCCGTGTGAGCCTACTCCAACAAAATCAGCCAGGGAACCTGGATTGAGGGACGTTAAGGTTAAGGAAATGTCAGATGAAAGAAACTGAGACAGAAAGCACAGATAGATTTGGGAGGTCTGTTTGGTCAAGTCAAAACTGCTAAACATCCAACAAGAGCTTATTTCAGAATAAGCTGAAATAAGCTTTTATACAGATGAAATACAAAAGGCAGAACAAAGAGCAGTGCAGTCAACTAACTACCTCTCTGCATTACTGTAGCATGGCTCATAAAAACCCAGAGACAGAAATTGGGTTCAGCCTGATGGTCATAAAAGCAAAAACAGCCAACCACTGGGTTTTACAGCTAATTCAGTTCAACATCATGATCCTGACTCCAGGAAACTTAGAATGAGACTGTGTCTGAGAGCTGTCTCTACCATTTTTATATTCCTCTCTACTGCTGGGATTAAAGACGTGTACCATTACCTGGTCTGTAAGGCTGTTCAGTGCAGCTGTTTTACTGTCTGAACTTCAGGCAAGCTTTATTTATTAAAATACAAATGAAATGTCACTGCATCTCCCCCTTTGTCTAAAATAAAAAGGGGGAAGGCTGTAACTAATATAAGAAAAATTATATGTGAACTACAAGGCTATATAAAATATATACAGGCAATAAGTACATCAACAATGTGTAGTCCATTTGCATTGGCAAATTTAGAGAAAATATTCTATATCTGTATTATCTTTGTAAGTCCAAAGTCTTACATACAATTTACTTTCAATCACAACTTGCTTTCTCTGTCTAGTAAGCTATTACTATCCAATCTTCAACTCCCTCAGAGACCCGAGAAGGAAATAATATTAACTGAGTAAGCAGGAAGTATTAGCAAGTGACTTCTAAAAACCATGAGAAATGACAGAAATATCTGGGTGCCTGGAGAGTTACCCCAAATTCCTCTGCAACATTGGGGCATCTATCTTTGGTCTGTAAGCCTACAGTATCTGATAAACTTTTCTGTGAAGCAGGATATTATATTCCAAAGGGGTGTTACTCCTTGTCTTGAAAATCTTTGGCTGTCACTTTATTTTGTGTCCTGCTTGTCCAATTAGGACAACATACTCTCAATAGTCAAGGCAAAGATATTTTCTTGCACACCAACTTACTTTTACCACAAAGAACGTAAACTTCATATGGCATTTCTTCAGTGCCCATTATCTTATCTGAAGTAGATTGGTGCTACTAGGAACAGACATGTCTCTTCATTATAGAAAAGAACCTATGTTATTAAAACATCATTAATGCCATACTATATAGATCTCTGAAGTGTTTGAAGATGACCTGTCTATCTAAACTATATCTTTTTCTTAAAAACATGCCTAATGTGACTACAAGTTCAATTATAATATACAATTAATTAATAACCCTGTATTTCCTTATTATTCTAATGACACAGTAATAATAATTTTCAAGGGCTAGGAATTTTAATTACATTGCTAAATAAATTATATAGGTATAATGCCTTGAACAATGATAGAAATATGCCATATAGTCTAACAAATTATTCTCAAACTTGTATTAATATACAAAATTGTACCAAAATACAAAATATACAAAAGAGAAATCCAATGTAAAGCATTTAAAACTAGCACTTGCTTTTAAAAAGTAGATTAAATAATCTACTCTTTTATCCTATCATATCTATATCCCATTTTTCTTTTCAAAGCAAGAACCTTGAATTCAATTTTCTTTGTTTAGTATTACCAATAATAACTTGTAACTAGCCCCCCTAAACAATGACAAATATCCATAATCCATTGAATGACAAAAAGTCACTCACCCCACCTCTTGAGAATTTGGGTACAGTTTTCTAGGCTACTTTCTGCTGGTTGGGGGTGCTAATAATCTTATAGGAACCCAAAGAAAATTTAGGATTATGGTTAGGTCTTGACTGGAGCGTTCTGTGAGGTTGGATCACCTCAGCCAGCAGGCTTGAATCTGTTCTGGATGTAGAACTCAGGAAACTACAAGAGAAATGGTCTTAAACATTGGCTCATATGGACCACCCATTCCCGATGGAAATTTTTCAGGGAGTCTTCTTCAATCAAACTTTATTTTTCTTAACCAAGAATGAATCCACATCCTCTCATTTCCTGTGGAAACAGAAGCAAAACCTCATCTCCAAAATAACATATCTTTTTACTTAAGTTTTGAAGTCAAAACATTTTCAAACTGTATAAATTGGGTTAATCCAGCAGTATTTATAATAAAGTGTTTTATAGGAGCTGTTATTTCTTTCTCAGCAGTCAAACAATTCAAAGACAACACAATCACATACAGTATCCAGAATCTCTTGTGTATTTTCCATCTTTACATTGTCTTTTTAAATTCTATTTCTATTATTTTTATTTTTTTAATTTTTGGTTTATTTGAGACAGGGTTTCTCTGTATATAATTGACTGTTCTGGAACTCACTCTATAGACCAGGCTGGCCTTAAACTCACAGAGGTCCACCTGTCTCTATCTCCCAAGTGCTGGGACTAAAGGTGTGTGTCACCACACCTGGCTATCCTATTTCTTTTTTTCAGGACTTTCTCTATCCTTTTTCTTTTCTCTCCCAAGCCTACACATATTTTAAACACACTGCAAACTTTAGAGGTTTTTTTTTTTTATCTGAATATGTCTTTACTGTATATCTCTATCTTTTTTCTGGGCACATGAGTCTATGAAGAGATAGGTAGGATTAAACTTGAGGCTTTGCCAGCTTGTTCTGTCCCATTACTTGGCTTCCTGAGGTCTAGCTTTATGGCAGAGTTACTGACAGGAGTCAGATTTATTGCCACAACTCTGTAGAGTTTCAAGGTCCATGCCACCACCAAGAATTCTGATGTTGACTGTTAATGAGTGCCATTGAAGTGCTTGATGGAAGAGCCTCTTAAAAGAGATGTGAAGTTTTTGCTGCTCATGCTGACTCAGAAAGCCTCTCTTCAAGGTGCCATGCCTCTGTTAGCTGCCAGCAAACAGAGCCTACTGGAAGAAAAGACCGCTATCAGGAACCTGCAATTGACTCCTTTTTCTGGGTCTAGCAGCACTTTTTTTATTTTAAAGGTGTTGTTCTTTTTTAAAAATGCTACAAGATCCCCGGGGCAGTAGGCAGCAGAAATGCTGTAGGTCCCAAATGGTGGTGGCGGGCCATGTGGCGGCAGACAGCGGGTCCCAGGCAGAGACAGCTGCTGGTCCCAGACAGGGAGACACATGGCGGGCAGAAGACAGAAACATGGATAGACACGACATGCAGGGTGAGGTTGAAGTTTATTCAGGGGGTTATGGAGGAGGAAGGGTGAAGGGGTGGAGGGAGAGAGAGAGAGAGAGAGAGAGAGAGAGAGAGAGAGAGAAGAGAAGAGAAGAGAAGAGAAGAGAAGAGAAGAGAAGAGAAGAGAAGAGAAGAGAAGAGAAGAGAAGAGAAGAGAAGAGAAGAGAAGAGAAGAGAAGAGAAGAAAGAGACAGAGGGGGGGGGAAGCAAGAAGTGGAGAGAGAGGCAGAGCGAAACTGCCTCTCCGAGAGGAAGACAGAAAAGAGCGAACTCAGCCTGCCTCCGCAGATGGGGGAGGGAGTGGGCGTGGCTTAAAGGGACCAATACCATAGCTTTCCCAGGTCTTCCTTATAATAAAAAGCAGATTAGATCTCTTAAAAGGACCAAAACCATAACAAAAGGGCAGATGGGAGCTGGGAGCCCTAGTTTTTCTCCTGAATGTGGATGGCTAGGTTTGGGTCCAGATCTTGCCTGTGCCAGTGGCAAGAAAACCCTCAAGCAAATGACTTTTATCATGAATTCATACAGCAAATATTGGTCACTAAATGTGGCACGATTAATAAATACGCAAAGATAGAAGTTCGTGTTTGACCTGAATGTCAGAAAAGCAAAACAGCCAGCCTCTGTGTGAGAGGTTTCTCCTCCTATTTTATATTCCCCTCTAGTGCTGGGATTAATGGCATACACAACGACCTGGTCTGTATGGCTGATTGGTGTAGCTAGCTGTTTTACTCTCTGAACATCAGGCAAGCTTTATTTATTAAAATACAATTATAAAATTAAATGTCACTACACATTGTCCTTGAGAGAAAGGGCAAGCAGGTTTGTGTATATCTTTCATATCAATTCTGCTAGCAGCAAGCAGTTTTTTTTTTTCTATTTTTATGTGCCTTCGACTGGAATTCTCTAGCCTGTGACTACATAAATAATGTGTTCTCTTCTCAGGGGCAAAATGCTTTTTCCCAAGGGCTTAATTAGAACTTTCTCACAGCCCTCAAGGATGCAGGCAAAACAGGAGATCTTGAACTCAAATAACTTTTAAGTTTGAGTTGACTCCAGATGGAAACTGAGTCACACATGGGCTCCCTCAACTCCCTTTTCAGTTCCATAACACATTTTTCTTTTATCTTTTCATATTTATTTATTTACATTCTGACCTAGTTTCCCATCATTATTCTCTACCCAATTTCTCCCCCCAACTCCTCTCTGACCTTCTTCAATCCACTATGGCAGGCCTCCCATAGACATCAACAAAGCATGGCATATCAAGTTGCAGTAAGACTAAGCACCTACCATTATTTTAAGGCTGAGCAAAGAAACCCATTATAAGGAATAAAGTTCCAAACATCAGCAAAAATCGGAGACAGTCCCCAATCCCACTGTTAAGAGTCCCACAAGATCAAGTTACATAACTTAACATATATGCAGAAGACCTAGGTCAGTCACAAAAAGGCTCCCTGGTTCTCTATTCCATCTCTGTGATCTCCTATGATGCCAGGTTATTGATTCTGTACATTTTATTGTGATGTTCTTGACCATTCTGGTTCCTACAACCCTTCCACCCTTTCTTCAGCAGGATTCCATGAGCTAGGTCTAATATGTCGATGTGGGTTTTGCAAATATTTCCATATATTCAGTTAATACGAATGTTTCAGCAAGAACTAGAGGGGTGGTTCGGGTTATGTTAGGTAAGCATGGTCAGGGTGGGGGTGGCTTACCCAGAGTTAAGATGCTGTCGGGGATTCTGGTAGAGTGGGAGGCTTCCATCAGAGATGTGGTCCAGGATCAGTGACAAGATAAGGAGGGAACATAGGTTTATCCCATAACACGTTTTTTAAATTGGATGGTTTGTTTTCTTTGAGTTTAGTTTTATCAAGTACTTTGTAGTAATTCATATTTAAGGTTTTTGTTGGTTTGTTATTGTTGTTGTTCTTTTGTTTGCATTTCTACAAATTTCTAGACAATTCTCTTAAAAGTTCTATTTTTCATTTATATTAACATGAATATCTTTGTTAGGATTTCTATTGTGATAAAACACAGTAGCCAAAAGCAACTTGAAGATGGAAAGGTTTATTTCAGCTTACACTTCCACATTACAGTCAATCACTGAGTGAAATCAGGAAAACTCAAACAGGGTAGGAACCTAGTGGCAGGAACTGAAGCAGAGATCATGGAAGAGTGCTGCTTACTGGCTGGCTTGCCTTCTTGCACCATCCAGGAGTACCCGTCAAAAAATGATACCACCCATCATTGGCTGAGTACTCCCACATCAATCACTAAAAAAGAAAATGTCCTACACATTCACCTACATGCAAATCCTTTTCTCAATTGAGGGCTCTTCTTCCCAAACTACTCTAATTTGTGTCAATGTAATATAAAACTTGCAACACATTTTATGAATGTATACATGACCTTATATGATTTCTCTTTCTCTAGGCCATGGAGAAGTGTAAGGATGCAGGACTGGCCAAGTCCATTGGGGTGTCCAACTTTAACCGCAGGCAGCTGGAGATGATTCTTAATAAGCCAGGGCTGAAGTACAAGCCTGTATGCAACCAGGTGACAGCTCTCAAGCCTCTTTTTCTGTTCATCATTGCCTTCTTTCTGTCATATAGTGGGTACTTTCCTTCGTACTTCACATTCATCGTAGATTTATAGAATACAAGTATCTCACAGCCATTTCTTGTCTTGGAATACATCACAAATTCTCAATTGTATCTCCTCCTGATGGATGGTGTCTTAGTAAAGATGGCAAGGTGATAGTAATGCCCAATGAGTACACAAATCTGTGGATATGAATGTGACCTCAGAGCCATAGGCATAGTGCCTGACTGGAGGAGTGTTATAAAAGGATCCAGGCTAGACAGACAAGTTACCTGATGACAGTAGTTTTAATGGTAGATAAAGTTCACTCACAGAACACTAGCTGATCTTGATCCTAAGCACATATTAGTCATCGTCTCTTTTGTGTCTTCTGCAATCAAATCAACATTTTAAACACTTTTGTCTTCTGTTTTAATTATTTCTCAATAGATTTAAATCATTTTATTTTTATATACATACATTCCTTTTTAAGTTTTATTTAATTTTCATATTATTAATATTAATACTGACACTTTTGAGGTTGCAAAGATAGAACATGAGTGATTGTTGTTCTTCTCTTTATTGATTTTATTGAGCTATACACTTTTTTCTGTTCTCCTCTTTATCTCCCCTCTCCTTCAACCCTCTCTCATAGTCCCCCTGCTCCCAATATACTCAGGATATCTTGTCTTTTTCTACTTCCCATGTAGATTAGATCCATGTATGTCTCTCTTAGGGTCCTCATTGTTGTAAGTGCTTGTTGTTCTTCTAAAACCTTGATGTATTTAACATCTCCTCTGAAAGGATACCAATACACACAAACACACATGTATACAATACATGTACATATACAAACATACTGACACACTAAAAGTTATTTTATGAAGTGGAATTTCTTATACTACAACGTATTTCTATATTGTCCATCTATAGGTAGAATGCCATCCTTATCTGAACCAGAGCAAACTGTTGGATTTCTGCAAGTCAAAAGATATTGTTTTGGTTGCTTATGCGGCCCTAGGTTCTCAACGTCCAAAACCCTGGTAATAAACGCAACTAATACTTGTAATTATAATTATACTTCAATATTTTTCTTTTTCTTCCTTCAAATTCTTCTATATATCCCCTACCCTGCTTTTCTTCAGTTTTTTCACTAATCATTATTGTGTGCATTTATATACATACATGTAACTGTAACCTCCTTAGTCTATAATGTTGACTGTATGTTTTCTGAAATGAGTTTTGACCCTGGAAAACTAATTACTGTGCTCTTTCCTGGATAAGGTAACCTCTCCAATTCCCAGTCTTCCTCATTTTTTAAAAATTGTTTTTATTGAGCTATATATTTTCTCCACTCCCTTTCCTTTCTCTCCCCTCCCCTTATACCCTCTCCCATGATCCCCATGCTCCCAATTTACTCAGGAGATATTGTCTTTTTCTACTTGCCATGAAGATTAGATACAAGTATGTCTCTCTTAGGGTCCTCTTTGTTGTCTAGGATCTCTGGGATTGTGAATTGTAGGCTGGTTTTCTTTGCTTTATGTCCTAAGGCTACTTATGAGTGAGTACATATGATATTTGCTTTTCTGGGTCTGGGTTACCTCATGCAATATGATGTTTTCTAGACCCATCCATTTGCTGGCAAATTACAAGATGCCATTATTTTTTTCTGCTTGTAGTACTTCATTGTATAAATGTACCACATTTTCCTTATACTTTTTTTGGTGAAGAGTCATTTAGGTTGTTTCCAGGTTCTGGCTATGACAAACAATGCTGCTATGAACATAGTTAAGCACATGTCCTTGTGGTATGATTGAGCATTCTTTGGGTATATACCCCAAAATGGTTACTGTCTCACCCTGGTCATTGACGTAGTTTATAGGTGGCATATAAGCACAAAATTTATTTCTAAAATCTTCCACTTAAAGGACTTCACTCTGAACTGATTCAGTAAGTCAGAGAATTTGCATCTTAGAAAGGTTCCTCAGAGTATTGATATTCTTGTCTAGGAAATAATTATAATGATTTCTTGTCTAAAGCAATACTTGAATGTGTTTGTAAATACCCTAAGAAACCAAACACACAGCTTCTTAGTTTCAGTATTTGTACTTTTTCTTTTTAGGGTAGACCAGAATGCCCCATTTCTTTTGAATGATCCAGTTCTTTGTACCATGGCCAAAAAGCACAATCGAAGTCCAGCTCAGATTGCCCTTTGCTACCAGGTGCAGCGTGGGGTCATTGCCCTGGCTCATAGTTATGAAGAGAATGAGATGAAAGAGAACATACAGGTGATGTAGGGAGCTATGGGTATTTGGAACTTTGGGTATTCTTCTCCACCCATTAATTTTTTTGGAAACCTCCAAGTAAATCTCTTGCCAAATCATTGTCTGTAGAATTTCCTGTGCATATGAGATTTCAAATGTTATGATTTTCAAGAATAACTAGCATAATGCAAAAGTGAATGCTTATATCCTGGGTCATTTCTAGGAATACCAATAAATACTAAAATACTTTCAGAAGGCATAAATCTAGGTGCAAGGCAATAATTGCATTGATCTTTATACTTCATAGTAAATTTTGAAACTTTCTATACTTTTAATAGAATAGTCCTTATTTTTAAAAATTAGTTAGTTTTATTAATTTTGTATGAAATATATTTTTGGCATACTTCTTCCTCCTCCAACCCCTAAAAAATAATAGAAAAAGCATCATTTGATAGAAAATATAGAAATTTAGTTTTCATCACTAAGTCAGACTTGTACAAATGACATCTTTATCTTCTGAAATCGGGCATCCTTGTTGAGAAAATTTTATTCTATAAATTATTATGGTTATCCTTTATGGTCCCCCAAATTTTCATATTATTTAGTGTTCATGTTCTCATTCATTTTGAATGAATGCCAGTAAATTCTTTGTCAATTTAATTGACTGATGATCTTCAAATAGTCTTATTTTCATTTTCTTTTTCTTTCTTTCTTTGGTTTTTAGAGGAAAGGTTTCTTTGTGTATCTCTGGCTGTTCTGGAACTCACTCTGTAGGCCAGTCTGTTCTTGAACTCATAAAGATACACTAGCCTCTGCTTCCCTGAGTATTGTGATTGAAGGTTTATCCCACCACTCCCTGGCTCGTCTTTGTACATTTACATAAGACATTTTTGTTCTTTTCTTGAAAGTCACTTTGAGGTTTAAAAATGTCACATATTTAGAGAATGAGGCATTTTTTCAAGCCAGTTCTTTTGTCCTAAGATATCATTAATATTTAGACAACTCCTGGCTTAAATTTTATTTGTAAGTATATTTTTCAAGTATAATTATCACCATGAAAATTGGTAGATTAATTTGTATACTTAAAACTATTCTTTTTTATTTTTTTGAACCTTTTAAGTACATGGCAATGTAGGCATTCAGTGATGCCATCTTTGTTTCTTCTCCAGTCACGTTTGATTTTCCTCATGTACAGTTTCAATATATCTCACCCCAAAGCTAAGGTATCTTTGTAGAATGGGAGGAAGAAAGATAATATTATCTGGGAGTTATTGATAACATGAAGGAAATAGAATTTTCCAGATAAAACAAAGCATTTGTGCATTTGAACTCAAAGTGATTATGACAATATGCCCAAAATATTTGCAAGCTTTAGCTATGCAAATTTCTAGCAAGAAGGGATAAGGTGTACATGTAATAACACCTTTAGCTGAGAAGTTATTGCTATATTTGACAGCTATTGAGAGGAGTCACTTTTCTTTAATGATGTCACCACTGAAAGCTAATCACAGACTATTGCTATGACAATACCAAAAGTAAGTGGGCAGCATAAAATGGACTCAACGGAAAAGATGAAAATAAAAGGCAGTTTCACAGTTAGATGAGAAGGAATGAGAGAGTAGAGAAAATGATAAGGGAAGGATCTGTAGAATGGATATGCTATATTATGTAAATTATTTAAAATTATGTAATGTTCTGAAAGTATTAATTTAGATAGTACACACAAGAGAGAAGTTTTTTTTCATTTAACTTAAAATCCCTGATAACTTGTGCAGTTTTTGATCTCTTTAATTATTTTTTGCAAATTTATCATATATTCTAGATATTGTATCTGAACCAATCTAATTAACTTGGGTTTTTAAGATTTTCAATTTTACAGAGTAAATTTGTGAAAACATTTTTTCCTTGTGTAATAGGTACTTGAATTCCAGTTGCCTCCAGAGGATATGGAAGTCATAGATGGCCTGCACAGAAATTTCAGATATTTTCCTGTGACTGTGTAAGTAACAAAAATGCTATAAGGGTATATAAAAAACATGTTGCATCAATTTGCCTAAATTTATTTAAACCTCTCACTTTCTTTGGTGCAAATTTGTTTAGGAGTCCACAATGGAACTTTTGGTGAGTTTCAGAGGTAAAAAGGTTTTCATGAACAAGCTAAGAGAAGCTTTGCTGAGGAATTCAAAAGCAAAGAAAGAATATTTATGCAGAAGTACAGTCACTAAAGAGATTTTATAACATTTAAAAAGATTCTCTTCTTTCATTCTCTTCTTTAGAAGAAGATCCTAACTGTATTTTACAAATGTGAGCAAATAAGAAAACCATAAGCATTGTTTTAAAATTACCTTAAATTACAATATAAAATTTTACGTATAAACTTAAACCAAATTTTTTACTCCCTTTCTTTTACTCTCTCTAGCCTCTCTCATGTCCCTGCTTTCTTACCACCCCATGTTCCCTCTTATATTCTGTCAATTTTATAGCCTCTTTATCTTTAGTGTTGCGACACATGTGTGTGCACATATATAAATATAGTCTTAAAAGTCTCTTTAGTGTTGCTTATGTGTATATGATTCCAAGACTTACTCCTTTTTATTGAATAACCAATCAAAGGACTCATCCTCAGAAGATAATAATTCTTCTCTCTGTAGTCAAAAGCTGCCTGTACTTCTTTGTCTAGTGGTATTGTTTGTTGATAAGAAAATCTATTATGCTTTTGTTATATGAAATCATATTCATAAAAAATAAGTATGATAGTGCTTGAAATGGCATTGGATAATCCATAAGTATCTGAGTTCAAAAACTAGTATACTTATTACTAATTATGTTAGTATAGAGCAAATGATTGATAAAGTATGGAATTACTACAAAAAGAGAGAAACAATCAAATGATTAGTAATTATTATAACTTTATAAATTGTGTTTGTATTTATATAAATAAATCCACAAACATACATGGGAAATTCCATGGATATGAAATACTTTTTAAAGACATTATATCTCTGATTTAAATACAACAAATTGTGTGAGATGCAAAATGATAAAAATAACTAGTGCATATTAAGCAGAATTGAAATTAGAAATCGCAAGTCAGGAACTCTTAATTTTTGTATTGGTAAATATTGGGACTTGTCTTTGTACTAAACAAGCACAATCAGCACCTATTTTCCATAGGCAATTTAAACTGCGGAAGATTCTGGAGTTTGCTGTGCTGTGTTGATTGACAGATGTAGTTAAGAAGTATATATGTGAAAACTTTTTTCTTAGTTTTCCATTCTAGACCAGGGAATGTAATCTAAATAATTTATTTATGGTTTTTAAAAATATTTTTATGAAGCTACATTTATGAAAGTATGAAGGGCAGATTCTGCCGCCAAAAAATAAATTAAAATTCATTCTAGTTCCAGAGCCAGCAAGAAATAATAAAACATTTTTAATAACAGTCATTACACATTTTGTTTGAACAAGATTCATTAAGACCACAGTGGTTATTTTTCTTTCATATTTTAGTGCTGCTGGCCATCCCAATTTTCCATTTTCGGATGAATATTAGCACGATAGCCTTTGCCATGACTTCTACATCAAGCTACTAAGTGGGGATAATCATGCTGCTGCTGCTGATTGAGGTGATGCTAATGAGACACACCATGGCTGGTTGATCTATACCACTTAGCAACTCACAGACTATTGAAGCCACATTTACCAACCTGGAAGAAAGACACTAAGGTTTTAATCACTTGTTGTAATAAATATAATGTTCTTTTCCCTAAAGAATTTTGCCTGGTTCCATTTTTCTTACTTGCATGTTGTATAAAAATTGATTTGGATGAAGTCAGTGGGCAAGAGGAAGAGACAATATAGCCTATTATAAAATTGATGGATGGGAGAGAGTAGGGTCTTCTAACTCAAGGAAAGTGACTTTAGATGGTGCTAAGAAGTCAGTGTTTCTAGCCCATAGGTTAACAAGAAAGCAGACTATACAGAATAAACTTTTTTTTAGCTCAAAAAGGCATTCCTAAGAAGAGTCCAACAAGACCTTCTATCAATTCACTAAATTCTAAAAATGAGTAGTGGAATATTTCTGTTTGAAAATACTTGTGACACTTATGACACCATAATGGAGTAGAATCTAATGTGCCCACTAAAAATTAAAGTTACAGAATGAGATTAATAAAATCTTAGCCTAGGAGGTTCTAAATTCAAACTCAGACACATCAAGAATGCATTTGATATTTGCTAATTAATATTATTCAGGCTCTTTTAAGAAGCTGTGTCCAAAGCAATGAAAGAATCAGCAAGGGAAATAAACAAACTCTTGCAGCACCTATAGCAATTCACTGAAATCTGAGCCTTGATGAACTCAAACCAGTTCTGTCTGAGGTCAGAGAACTGTGATCCCAATCACAGTCTGTACAGAAACCTTTGTTTTCTCTCACTACATACTTAGACTTCTACCAAAAGCCAGAGACCTGAAATCACAGCTTTGTTATGAAGTGAATCAAGTTGTACAGGCCAATGAGAGTACGACAGTGTTTGGTTCTTCCCTGGGTCTCTATCCAGGCAGTGTAGGGCATGGCCTCCCTCTTATATATGGTCCTGTTGTTAAAACAGAAATTGGTTGGCTACTCCTACAAGTTCTGTGCCAACATTGATTACCCTAACACCTCTTACAGGCAGGAGAGATTGTAGGTTGAGGGTTTTATGATAAAGCTGAAGTCCATGTTTTTATTCATATTATGAAGAGTATTGTTTCATGCTATAGAGATTAGAATTTAGAAGTGAAGGCTCCGTGAAGGTACAAACTCGATCTTTCTACATTCAGTGAGCTATATAGATGTTGTCCTTAGCAATAGGGTCCTGTTGTCAAAGAAGACTTTTAAAAAAATACCAAAAAAAAACCCCACAAAAACAAAGCACAAAAATTGAATTCCTAATGTTACAAGTTTCAGGACAAAACACAGTAGCATAAAAATCCAAGATAATTTTACAGGTGATTATAGGTAAGAGATTGAGATGAGTCTCAGAAGATATTTTGGATTTTGAAACAAGTTTGAGACTACTATAGACTATGGGGAATTTTGAAGTTGGACTGATAACATTTTTTTGCATTATGATATGGCTAGAATTTTGGGGACCAGGGAATGGAATATAGTGGTTTGAAAGAAAAATGGCTCCTAAAGGAAGTGTCACCACTAAGGGTTATGACTTTGTTGGAGTAGGTATTGCCTCATTAAAGCTAATGTTTCATTGTGGGCATGTGCTTTGAGTTCTTCTATGCTCAATATACCACCCAGTGTTACAGTCCACTTTCTGTTGCTTTCTGATCAAGATGTAGACAACACCATGTCTGCCTGCTTGCCACCATGCTCCTCACCATGATGATAATGGACTGAACTTCTCAATTAAATGTTTTCCTTTATAGGAGATACTGTGACCATGGAGTCTTTTCACAGCAATAGAAACACTAAGACACTACTTAGAGTAAAATGATGGATGTTATATGATTTTTTTTGTTTTGGAAAATAAAACTTGCTTGGAATTGGAGTATGGAGCTAGTGACTAGTTAATTTTAGATATCTGGAGGAATGTGCAGAAAGGAGACAGGGAGTGAATAGGTGGGGCAGGAACAAGATCTCAGCCTTTTGGAAGGAAGAACAAAAAAGGTAAGAAGTCACTGTGGCTGCTCCTCTGCTTTTCTTATTTTTCATATTTTTACCTTGATATATGATTCTGATTTTATTGATAATATTAGTTAGACTTACACTGTACCTAGCATCCAACTTGAAGCACAAAAGCATGGGATAGCTGCTCATTCCTGGCTTTTCAGCAACTCAGCTTCAACAAATGAACACAGCTGCAACCAGAGCCAGAGTCAGCTGGCTTTCCACTCTTGCCCCATTCCACTGAGTGGGTCTGGGATTTTTCTGTTGCTGCTATTATATAGCAATCTCCACAGGCTTTTGGACTCCAAATGCCCTGGAGTTAGTCCCTCACCATCAGTCAGCTCTGCCTTCAGACAGCTCTCACCAGAAGGGCTTCTTCTACATGATCCCTTGTGTGCATTTTTCATATAGCCAGCTCACTATTACCCATGGTTTGTTGGCTTCCTCTGGGCTCTTCTCCTCGATTTTCTGCCAAGCTAGGTAGCTGCCTTGGTACCTGTTTGAGCTTCTACTGTTGTTGCAACTGCCACACACTCTCAGCTCATAGCTGCATACAAATAGTTGCAGTTGTAATCAGTCAGGTTGTGCACCACCTGTGTTCTCTGCTCAGATGTGCTAAACAGTAGTAGTCAGTCTCACACTTTACTGTCATCCTCAGCAGATTTGATGGAATTTGGGGGGGAAATTAGTTTTACAAAAAGGAGAGAATTCCCCTATGCTAAAAATGGGGAACAGCATTACAATGGAGGGAGTTAGGTCACTGTATGATTTCATAATGAATGTTTTATGAATGGAGCAATTAAACAAGGGGATATGTATCTTAACTGGGATTAGGCAATGTTAATAATATGCATTTTCACTTTGGAAATTCTCAAAAGTAGTGATTTGGTAATTCCTAAAAATGAGTGCCAAGATATAGGTCTTAGAAAAAATTACTAGAGAAAATAATGCCATTTTGACTAATAAGTTACAAGCATTAAGAGATATTCAAATACAAGGAGAAGAATTTATAGAATAAGCTACCCCACCATTATATTATAAAATTAGAGAGGAATCGTCAAGGCAATCAAACAACATCATTAATTTATCTAGTCACCCTACAGGAACAATTGTCAAATGACAGTTACATAGAATGCTGTATAAGAGCTAACTGGATTCTTGTGGAGATGTTAGATTTGAGGAAATTTAAGGAAATGATAATATCATATGGTACAAATTCACCTTTTGTGAAGCAGATGTTAAAATCAAGGTCAACTTATAGCAGAATTATCCTATATGACTGGAAGAATTGGTCACAGCAGTATCAGAATCTGGTCCTCAATTGCAGTCATGCTTGTGGAAAGATGGAGCTAGGACAATTGAACAGTGAAGTAGGGTTAGAGGTATTGAAATTTCCCAGGATCAACTTTTTTGAGAAGGGGATTATGCTGATGAACAAAGGCAGTCTATATATAAAGACCGCACCTTGACGCTATGCTATGCAGCAGCTTTGAAAGTTTGGGACTGAATAAAAGAATTGGAAAGAGAACAGAGATATTTGCATCCCACCACCCGGCTACCTTTACCTGAAATAATTACACGAAAACTATTCTTTCAAACACTGCTTGGCCCATCAGCTCCAGCCTCCCACCGGCTAACTCTCACATCTAGAATAACCCATTTCTAATAATCTGTGTAGCACCACGAGCTGGTGGCTTACCACCGAGATTCTTAACCTGCTTCCGTCTCAGAGAGGAGAGGCATGGAGTCTGTCTGACTCGGCTTCTTTCTCCCAGCATTCTGTTCTGTTTTCTCCGCCTACCTAATTTTCTGTCTTATCAAAAAGCCAAGGCAGTTTCTTTATTTAACCAATGAAATCAACACAAAACAGAAGACTCCCACAGATATTTACTAAAGTTATACAGCACTCAAACTGTCACTGATTTCTTTTACAAAAGTTTACTTCATCTATAAATAGAATGATACCAAACTTAGAAACTAGACAATACTAACTGAATCTTTGGTTTTTGAAAATGTTGATTTAAAACGAAAAGGAATAAATAATTCATGAAAGGCAAGATTACCACCCATAGGAGAATGGATATAACATACAGTCAATAGTAAATCTCGTAACCATGAAGATAAGTGGCTAGGATAATTTCCAGAGACATAAAACAAAATCAAAATGTTTAGTGTTTAATTAGTGCAAACCTGTTTACCTTGTAGACAGGGTATTCGTGGGAACAATATTTCTTTGAGGAATTATCCAAATGAAGACTCTTGACCTCTGGAGTATCTAGAAGGTGAAACATTATACCAATGAGTGAAGATCAACAAAGGACAGTCAAGGTAACCCTTTGCAGATACCATAGCAAATTTGGTTCAGTCATTCTATGTCACCACGGGGTAAACTCCTACGCAGAAACCTAATGCCTATTATAGAAAAAAAAAACCTACTGCCATGGATGCTTTAAAAGATGAAAACAAAAAGTTTAGAAAATGCCATAAAGAAAATATGTTGGCAAGCTTCTATAAAGGAACAAAGACCAAAGTTTAAAATAAGAATAAATATTAATGGACTTGTAGACATAGGAGAAGATGTAACAGTAATGCCACCAGAATCTTGGTATTCAAATTGAACTCTTCAGGAGGCAAATGTATGACTTTTAGGGAATGGAATTATATCTCAGGTAAAACAAAACAAGAGATAGGTCAAATATATAGGCCAGATGGACAAAGAGGAAATTAAAGCCTTATGTGACTAATATAGGATTGAATATACAGGGACATAATATATTACAGTAATCAAATGCCCAGATTAACATTCCTTTTCCAATAGATTATGTGACAGCCATTGGAATTGATTTGTTTACAGTTTCCTCAGTCTATTATTTAGAATTATTTTGACAATATCTTACTACATGATTCAAACATAGATACTAAAAGAAAATATTTGAAGAAGTAAAGAACGTTTTGGGCAAATTGTTCCTGAAAAAATACAAAGAGGAGATTCTATTAATTACTTAGATTATAAAACAGGATTACAAAATATTCTACCCCAAAATTTTTACATCAAGGGGTTATCAATTGCAGACTCTAAATTGGATTCCAAAAGGACTTTCATAGATATGT